GTTATCCACGCAAGTCGAAAAACAACACGTTCCTTCCAATCGGTCCGACTGCGGATTACTTGATTCATCTCTTCCTCTGTCAAGGGGCGCGCTTGCTTCGTTTCCGATCGCGCCGCAATTTTTTGTGACCTCAAAGCCGCCATATCCAGCGGGGTTCGATTCATTTCCAACATGGACCGCAGCATCCTGGCGTACTGCAGTCGGGTCGATGGCGTCACTTCGATTGACACCAAAAAGACCGCACAGCTATCCTCGTTCATCGGCTGTTCGTGCGTGCGGCATGAGGTCGTGAATTGCCCCGCGAGGGACATTCCACGCTCCCACGTTGACGGCGCCCACATCTCTCGAGCGACCTCGTTCGCTCTCCTCATATAACTGGCCCAAAGCGGGGATGTCGGTAATTCGTCGTACCACAGTCGGGCGTCGTTGGCAGATAAGCTCCATTGCCCTTCCCGACGATTTCGTCGGGCAATTTGAAAGATCGGGTGGAGCGTCGGCGGTGCGGTGCGCTGCCTGTGAAGATTGGTGGGAGGCGGCGGATTGGATGGGGCTGCCGTCGTCCGCTTTCATAAAAAGCAGCAAGCAGCCCCTCTGCCGTTTTTTGATGGGCGCCTGTGTTGTGAGTAATTCCCTCTGGGGCGCACATTGCATGTAGATGCCTCGTGTCCAAAAATATGACAACGTTGGCATCGCACAGTGCGTTGGGTTTCTCGCCGATCGACGAGAGTCTGGGTCGTCCTCGCATAAGCGTCCGTCTGGTGAACAGCGGTGTAAGGACGGGCGCGCAGTTTGGAAAGCCGGATGCCGGGATCGGACGCGATTGTGAGCTGCATCCGGAATGTATTCAGTAGGGACCTCCCCAAATTCATGATTCGATCGGTGGGATCCTGCAGGACTTCCAGCGCGCTGATCCACTCGACCAAATTGTCAAAGGCAAGTTTAACCTGCTCGTCGTCCTGTCGCCAGCATTGGTATGCACACCGGAGGTCGATAATGACTCCGGAGGCGCCCTCATTCCATACACGTGAGGGCCACGTAGTGACGTCGAATGCGCAGAAACTGCGGTCCTCTTCCATAGGTAATCGGGCGTCCAGGGGAGAAGTGCGGGAAGGCAACGGCGTGGAAGGGTGGAAATGTGGTCTCGCAGCATTACCGTGAGGGGGCCTGTAAGCCGCCGAACTGTGTCGGGCCGCACTGCTAGGCACGCCTCCAGCCATCAAGATATCCGTTTGATGTGTTAGTGTAGATACGCCATCGTTGGCAACGTGCCGAGTAGCGGGGGCCGCGTCCCGCCCCGCAGTCTCCGCATCCTGCGCGGTTTGTAGTGCGTTAAGGCGTGCCTCCCGTTCCTGGAGTTGAGCAGTGAGGACTCCCAAGTAGAATTCGCGCTCCCGTAATTGGGCGCGATCGGCCTCCAACTGCTGTCGTAGTTCTAGGACCTGGTTGCCGGCCCCGGCGATATTGGATTCCCTTACCGATAGGTTAATTTGCGCCTCCTGAAACTGCGAGTTAAGCCGAGCATTTCGATTCTGCACGTCCGCGACGGCGTTCGCGTAATCAAAATTTAGGCGCTCCCTTTCAGCCGTGATGAGCCCTTGTTGGTGCCCCAACTCCCGGGCTGCCCCCATAGCGGGCAGGAGCGCTTGTTTCTCAAAATTAGGGATCTGAGGCGCGCGGAGATTCGCAATATGTCCAATAAGAGTAGAATCCTGCCATGCTTTAGAGACAGGTCCATGAGCAAGCATAAGCCTGTGGATGATGGGGCCACAGTTAACGTCTCGTCCGACAGCTGGTTACCATTAATGAACGTCATCTGCACCTGGGTCTCGCCACATTGGCAGACCATTTCCCAGAGACGGGCGCCAATATCACACCACTCGGAGGGTGTGTAGGGAACCAAAGTCATTTCCTTAAGCTTACCTGGCTGTGTGTCTGTAAAAAATAAAATTAAAAATATTATCCGGCCTCTATCGGCTCCCTGCCCCTACAAAGTCGCGTTCTTCCCAAAAGATTCATACGGTAGAGAGTATCATAAAGAATGCATTCATTTATCAGGATATACACATACATTAATTAAGTTAGCCAGCTATCCCGCGATCATTCTTTTCACAAGCTCCTAAAAAATAAAATAATAATAATAATAATAATCCCTCATCCCTCCCATTTCATGCATCACCAATATTTAGTGAAATCCCTCATGCTCTTCACTGGAGGACCACGAAGAAGTTGAAAGAGCCTCTATGAGATCTTCAACCGTGTCGTCTTTATGGGCCGAAGCCGTTATGGTTGTGCTCAGCGAAATCAGCGACGGTCTTCTTCCACGCACAGGAAAAACTGCATACTTTGTTGAGGCAGCTGACGGGGACTGATCAGATAGAGTGCACGGCATTTCGTATTGAGGTGATGGGGAAAGTATTTTCTGTCGCTTTCCTACGATGCAAATACGATCATCTTCCATCAATTGGGAGGGATAATGACGGCACCCCTGTTTTTGCCGCTCTTCCTTCTGTCTATATCCGTGCTGCGCACTTTTGGGGCACAAAAACGAGGATGTTAGACAACAATTACGCAAACCATGATCATCATTTGTATCTCCTGCTCTTCCCCGCATACCCACTCCTACTGCATTCCCACTAAGCAAAAAAAAAGAAAAAACATGGAAAAAAAAACTCAGTTTTTTCCTCCACACCCCCAATTTCTCTTTACTTTTTTAAATATATACACAGCAGACAAAACCAAGATAACCCCGTTGTTGCATTTTATTTAATTTTTATTTCAATGCTACTCAGCGCTGTGTAAGCGCCAAATAAATTCCCTAACGTACATCGTCGTCGTGGAATCCACCGTGCTGCAATGCCTTCACACGACTGCATTTTCCTTGGAAGACTACTTTTCTTTCTTGGATTCAAGAGACGATGGATTTGTGCCTGCGGCCTCCCTGGGAGCCTTTCCCTGCTTTTTATCCCGTTTTGCAGACTCGCTCGCTTCGTTTCCGCCGGCCTCCGCCTCCACACACTCCACCCTTTTGGCATCGCCGTCACTTTCTTTGTCAGGAATCTCGCTGCGCCCTTTGTCAACCGGATAAATCCACCGTTGGTACAACAATATGACAAAGACGACATCATCACGAAAACACGCAAGGCGATGCAGCCATGGCATCTTCACAATAAATGCAAAAAGATCATCGATAACGGTGTTAAGGGCGCGATACACAAACGTACGCCACGGGAGCTGCGCGACGGTTTTCATCTTGTAGTTAATAAAAATTTGCGGTGTTAGCATGGCAAACCCAAAAAAGTAAATAAAGCGTACCTGTGTATTTATAATAAACGAATACCAACCTCTGTGGGTATCATAGAGTGCCAAATACACAGTATAAAGGAGTAGAACAGGTGACATTGCGCACATAAGATAACGCACGGCACGGTCATCATGCTTACGCGTACACTCATCATAACCATCATTAAAAGTAAACCACCACCACCCATTATCGTGACGGAAAAATCGCACGGTTTGTGCAAGTTTCCAGTACTCAATGAGAACACCAACGCCATTTGGAACTAGAATAGACCACGACGTTTCATCACCATCCAAAAGGTACAGAAACACAATGGTTTGAAAGTAACAATTCATAACAATTGTACGAACTGATAAACCTTTAAAATCCTTTCGAGACCGCCAAAACTTTACGTCGTTTGAAAAGGCCAAATACTCAAACAACATATGCAGCAATGTCACAATAAGAGTCAAACCCAAAAAATAGGGATTTGTTTCCAAGAATATTCGCTTGGTCTCATCTAAATCCTCAGGCTTTGCCAAACCCAACTCCTGATTCTGTTTCATGGATTCTTCGAATTGAACATAAAGAGCTAACTTCCATAGAGGACGTGGGGAAATCGTGATGGTGAAATTTAGCGGGGAAGCCGCAGTTGTGGCGTTAATTTCCAACAAGTGATCTCGCAGCACCCAAAAGTTATTGATGTAAACTAAGGGTAGGTATTGTTGCGTTTCGTTGTCCATAATGTAATAAGGTATCATTGATGAGGGAAGTGGGTTGGAAAAGTCAACAATAGGGCTTAGAGTCAACAACGGTTGAAAGTAGGCTTTCCAGACAGTCCTTGGCTCCAAATCGGTGGTGTTGCTTGCGTCACCCTCCGCTGTTTTCGTATAGAGAAACAGATGTTGCTTCCGCCTTGCGCTTCTAAAAGGCAAGTAACGCACTAAGGGAAATAATTGCGAGTATTCCTTTTTCTTAATAATCGTTTTAATGGTAAGGAATGCGCTGCTATTTTCAGCATAGCACCGGCTTAAATCAATGGTATAATGTCGCGAAATTTCTTGGGTATTATCATCAAGAACCAAATCTGAGAATATATCCTCAGAAAATAAACCGTCTTCACCAGATGTGATAATAATGGAGTATAAGTCGCCTCTTTTGGAAAAAGGAGTGTATTGCAAATGCACCTCGGTTACCCCAGAGGTATCCCGTCCTCTCATCTTCAAATTGCTCTTGTTCCCGACGCTACTCGTGTCTCTCGAGCTGAGAAAAGAAAACATGATGAGAAAGACCATACCATAAACAAGAACTGTCCGCCACATCGAATTCAGGGAGGGATTTTTTGCATCTCCACTCTGTGTTGCCGGAGCAACCATATCTAATAGTCTTTTCTACAGTTAAAAATATACAACTCCACTTTTCTTTTTTATTTTTTTTTCATCCTTTAATTGAGAGTGAAAGGAAAAAAAAAAAAAAACAGGTGTAAAAAAAAAATATATGTATACAAACTAATATATGTATATATAAAGCTCAGAGAAAACAAGCCTCTCTCGTTTTTTTTTTTTTTTTTTCTTTATGTTAAACACTGCGTATCCACACATGAATAAACAACAAAAACTAAGAGCCATTGTTCACCTTATCTCCCAGCTCAATTTCACTTTTTTTTTCCCTTCTCACAAATGCCGATGAAAAGAAAAAAGAAAAATGCACGTTATGAACAAAATCACATATGCTTGAGGACGTCTAGAACATCTACAAAACAAAAAACATGGCCAAAGATGGTAATTAGGCCAGCTCCATTCCGTTTAAGAAGGTGTTCCGAGGGAACAAAGACCCGCCATTTGTCACGTAACGGTTGATGAAAGTAAGAAAGATCCGTTGAATACCTCAGATAATCTTTTATTGATGGTGTATGAGAAAACGCTGCCACACACAAAAGGCAAACAAACAAGAAGGCGACCAGATTCATTGCACCATCGTTTTCTTTTATTTTTTTATTTGAGAGTTTTAAACCCCAAATCTCAGAAGGGGTGTAAAGACCCTCTTTTCCAGTTATCTTGGCGTAACGCCGAATAATTCCAAGATAGTCTTCACTTTCAGATGTTTCAGGTGGAACACAACCCAAAGGGCCTCGTTGTAAAGCTAAAAGGCGACTGCACACCTCATCCTTCACACGAAAAAGTACATCCACTTTTATGGATGAACCAGGGGAACTTTGCGTAATACTCAAAAGGACAACCTCATGAAGATCCAAAGTAGATGCCAAATCAAATCTAATAGAACCCCGCTTTTGGCGCATGTAAGCCGCTACAGTAGCATCCATCCTTTTTTTATATTTGGTAGTTACAACGTCAATCCAAGTAATTGTCTCATCATCCAAATTTTCAACTAGAATGCGTTCTTGTGGAGACAAGTGATGCTGAAAATATTTCATCATTTCGCGCTCAGAATTTGAGTTTAAACCTTTTTCAATATCAGTTTTTTTTCTCAATCTTTTCTTTTCATATTGCCGACCCAAATTCACTGTCGCTGGAGGGTCAGATGGAAGCCACGCAAGTTCGCACAAAAATATAACATGTACAACAATAACCGTAAAACGATATATTGAAGGTACTCTACACGTAAACGCAAACAAATCATCCAATATTACTCCCAATTCGGTAAGCAGAAAGCTTTGGTAAGAAATAGATTTTGCAGGCAATCTTAGATAATTGAGCGGAATGGAGCATTTTTTCGCGGAAACATTATCCCAAATATTTGGAGTCATCCGATATAAGTGAGACAAAACGTACAGAATACCAAAAGACATACGAAAAAAAAATTCTAGTCCATCCTCCCCAAAAAATTCAACTTTGCCCATGAGTCTTTGGCTTAAATGAAAAAGTAAAGGCATACCAGCAAACATCACTGCCTCCCTGTAAAAATCAAAATAGGAATGTTTAACCATCCTTGACATTTCTCGCTCTGCCACGGATATCCTGGTCACAGAAACACAATAGTAAAACATTTGAAAAATCACCACAATATTAAAACCAGAAATATATAAAAACTCATACATTGTAAACAAACCCATCGTCAAAATTCGACACCCTACTTGAAGAGATAAAGAAAAACCCTTTTCATCACCATTATTTCTCATAACATTCCCTCGAAGGAAATAATATAATTCTTGAGCTGCATAAAAAGCCATATCATACAACCGGAAAAAAACCAAAGAGCGGAGCTGTAAAAGTTCTTCTCGGTATTTTTCGGCTAATTTAAAGCGTTGACTCCCTCGAGCCAGCAAAACATCGTGTGCCTGTTGTATCTTTATCATTTGAATACGACAAGATTCACAGTTTGGATTTCGATCCGGATGCCAGCGCTTAACAGCCTCTCGATAAGCACGTTTTATCTCATTTGGTTGAGAGCTAGGAGAAATTGCAAGAACTCTGAAATGCGCATCTGCTTCGACATCGATGAGACATTCCCACAAAGGCCAAAAATACCATAACACTCCCATTAATACAATTAATACTCCTAATAGACGGAGTAAAAAAAGCTTTCTTGATCCGTACCTAGATTTTCTTTCAAGAAACTCTCGCAAACAGCAATCAAGCCACTTCGTCTCCGCATCAATATAAGCCGAACGAGCCTCATCCCGAGCATCATCATCCACCGGATCGGGACACGATACCGTTTCCACTTCCGATTCCCGCTTTTTTTTAACTAGAAACACGCGATTGATAGCATGCATTCTATCTACAAATGCAGCAAAACTACTGTTTTTTTGCAGTGCATTTCGTGCTGTTGTTCCCTTCAATGGTCCCTCATTTTTAAATTCTCTGAGTGAACCCAAATTATTGTTTTTGAACAAATTGCGGTGCTTCATTTCCTCCACACTAACTTTGCTTCTACTTACAGAAAAATAAAAAAGACCAACAAACAAGAAAACGATAAATAAATAACAAAAAATAATTAAATAAATAAATAGATTATGTCTCACCCTCTCTGAAGAGTCACAAGGAAAATTAAACATGTAAACGCATCATATCGTTCCAGCACTTCATAAATAAATAAATAAATGAAAATAACTAAATGAAAATAAATAAATAAATAAATAAATAAATAAATAAATAAATAAATAAATAAATAAATAAATAAATAATAATAATAATAATAATAATAACAATAATAATAATAATAATAATAATAACAACAATAATAATAATAATAATAAAACTGGTATACACTATAAGCGTGAAAAATCCCATGGCAAGCGCGAAATAGAATATTATAAATATGCCAAACGCACAAGAAAAAAAAAAAAAAGAAGAAAAGAACAAACAACCTTAAATAATAATCCGCCAAGCAAATCCATCTTCAAATCATTTACATACTAATAGTCAAAAATAAAAATAAAAAGAAAAACGGCTAATATTTGGGCAATTAAAGAAATTTTTCAGGAAAAAAAAACGGCGGTTCGACATATGCTCCTTATTACACTTAAGATATTAGAAAAAGCAATAATAATAATAGTAATAATAATAACAACAATAATAATTCCCTGCAAAACAGACAAGCACACACACACACAAAAAAAAAAAAAAAGCAAAAAGAATTTTACGCAAACAAGAAAATTAAAAAAATTCAGTAAAACTTTTCCACTTCACATCATCATCCAAATAAGCAAAATTGCAATTTATGAAAACTAGTTTTTTCAGCAAATGAGAAGTTGCTTTATTTTTTTACAAAAAGTCTTCATAAAAGTGGCCATATAGAGTGACTTGCAGTTTTGGAATTGAAAGGGCGTCATACAATATTTCCGGAAGCCCTTCAATAGTCATTTTCCCTTGCATAATTTTACGTTTGGCGTCTAGTATCGTTTTTATTTTCCTTTTTATTGGAAAAGTTTGCTACTGGTGGCATTTGTTAGATGCGTAATAGTTTCTTTTTTGAATGCACTCCATTGCCCCGTTGCTAGAATAATTTTTTATGGTGATGTATATATATAAACATGTTGCCCCAGTTTAAATATATTTTGCTATTATTTCAAAAAAAAAAAAGGTGCCAAAAACCAAATCATAGGGTAGAAATTTGCAATTGATATTAAAATTTTTTTAAAAAGGGTCATGCTTTTTCGCAAAATTGCAAACAATAACACAAAACAAAACAAAACAACTGCAAAAAATAAAGGAGAATTCGACGCCCATAAAAAAACACAGCCTTATGAATGACCAAGCGGAGTTTCACAAAACAATATTGTCACCGATATCCAAAATTACGCCGGAGAAGTTACGGGAAAATGTCAAAAAAAGCGGACGCCCTCCAAATGAAAACACCACATTTCACCAACATACGCCAAGAGAACCGGACAAAGAAAACACACACGCACACGAAAAAAAAAAAAAAAAAAACGGCGCGACCGACGCCGCCCGGACATTGCCGGCACCCCGAAACCTCGGGCGGTCAGAAGGGGCAGGAGGAATCGAGATCCGGGTCGTGACGGCGCCCTGCCCCTTCCTGGGCGTGTTTTTTTTCTTTTTTTCGATTCGGCATTGTCGTTTCTTACGGCCGTCGCCGGCGGTAGCCGTGTCTTTTTTCCTTTTCCACCAGGCGTCAGTGTATGGGCGATCGCTTTTATTTTCCCGGAGAGCCCGGGAGAAAGGTCGCAAGGAATTATATGTATATATAATTGCGTTATTTGGGTGGTCACATATTCTTTGTAAAGAGTTCTTTTCCCCGCTGGTAAACACGGCGGCTTCCAAAAACGAAATTAAAAGATATTAACAATAAAACAAATTATTTATTATGCCTTTCTTCTTTAAGCACAGGCTAAGGGCGATTTTGACAAATTGCTTTTGTTTTTAGGAACGGAGCACAAAAGGCCTAAAAGCCATATCATTTTTTTGCTGTTTTTTTTTTTCTACTTCAGGACACACCGCTTCAGCGCCATGTTTGTTTTTTGTTCTTTTGTTAGTTTTTGTTTTGTTGAGCGGTTGAATCTTATTATATTCCACCCCTTTTTTCCCCGCCAGTTTATCTGCGCGTGTTTATGCGTCTGATCACAATACGCTGGAGCGGTGTTTTTGGAACGATTTTGTATCGTGTGAGTTGGCGTGAGTTTTGGGTGTATTCAATATATATATATATATATTGCAAAGTATTGACGCTTTTTTCCCATGTTTATTTTTAAACTTTTTAAAAACTTGTAATTAAGGAAAGCCGTAATTATTACAGGGCGTTTTTGCAACACCGAGAGCAGTCACCAATCGCAACAACAAATAGAATTGAGAGTGCTTACTTTTAGGGGATATCATTCATGCACAAGAGCCCAATGAAAAGACATTAGCGCGGGCAGAGGAAAATAACAAGGTAACGAATGAAGCGATATTTTTATTTTGCTCTATTTCGCTTGTTGATATGCCACACCAGTGAACTCACATTTGACGCAAATGCGGCGACGGATCCAGCAAGACTCTTTGAAAACAGTCTATTGAATCATGGATGAGTGCGAATTCCGGAACTGCTTGTACTCATCTCTTCTGTCTGCCTTTTCCTTTTGGGATAAAAGGAATTATTGTGACCACTGCTGCTGTTCAATGAGAGGGATTGGAAACGGAAACAAAACCATTTCGGTGTCAAGGTTTTGTATATACGGCAGGGGAGAAAGAAAAAAGCACAAGCAATCATTGGCATCCTCCGATGTGGACGGTGCTGAGACAGATGTATCATGAGCTGCCGTACAATTTACCTTTGAGGTGCTTGCGATTCTGGTATGCTATGACGAAAAATATAGGGGTAATATTCCGCACTTACTTGTTTGCCTTTTGAATATTATTAAGGTAGCGAACCCAAAAACAGGCTTGCAGTTAATTAGTATGAAACCAATTCTCAATACTACGCATATGGTTGGAGGCAAATTTTTGAAGTTGTCTTTTCCTTTTGAGAACAGCGCAGTTGTGACGAAAGAGGGATGATTTGTGTTTTTTTTTCCAAACTATAAGCGCGAATGGGCTTACAATATCCAGCTTAATTTATTCGGAGGATGACAAAATAGCGTCGAGACCCCACTATCGAGCGAGTGCTGAGGGCGGCAGAGATGTCGCCATCGTGGATTGGGAAGATGCGAAGATGCCCATTTTATCTCTTTGCCATCTCGGAAATCGCAGAGTTTACGGAGGACGAGATGACGGGAAGGCATGGACAGAGGCTCTTGGAACACCCTTACGCGTGTGCGGCAAAAACGGGAGGGAATTGGTTTTGAAGTTGGAGGTAACGCTATTACTGTGAGTATTGTGAAGAATAAAGTGATGCTTCCTAAAACACTTGGCGCAACATGGTACATAAAGCGAGAATAAAGGGTGGCCGCTTAAATTGTGGCTCTCTAACTTCAGTAATTACATCTTTGACCTTTGAACGATATCTGAAATTGACAAGACAGCCACAGTCATTCTTCCGTTGAAAAAAGACGGGACTTTGTTTACTTTTTACAAGAACGGCGGTGATACATCCTGCAGTCCTTTTATTACACTTGTTATTCTTTTTGGCTGCGTGGTGGGATCCGTGAAAAAAAAAATATGTAAGGACGTGGATAACCGTGTTTCCCAGACGTGTAGTTTTTTAACTGCGGCGAAGGCCTTATCACCTCAAGGGGTTTGCATTACTTACGTACCCACGAACGTTAGGGTTGGATATTAGTCTGGTACCCTCACTGCGGGTCAGCGGAAAGATGACTAACTTCAAGGGGATACAAAAGTTCATGGGAAATCGAGAAACACGAATGATGATTTGTGGTTTAAACTTTCTGGATCAGGAGGAAAATGGTCCGTTGGCAAACCAGGGCAGAAGCAATTTTACCACTTTGCAAACTACAACTTTATTCTTTTGGCAAAGGTGACCATTCATCGGGTGCCGAAGAAAGACAGCATTTCTCTGCTGGGTGCGGGTCTGGGGGACGGTCAGGGCGCGAAGATCATTGGACTGTCGTACGGCATGAATAAAGAGTGGGAGACAGTGTTTGATGGGAAGAAAACAGCATCG